TCCCACTGTTGCCCCTCAAGAAGAGATTTAAGGATCATTCTCCCAATACCAACAAATTTCTATTAATCTCAAATCAATGTTTTCAGCTTTGATTTTAGTTGAGAAACTGGTATATTAAGGAATCTTTTGCTGCACTTTCTTCAACTGCAACATGCATGGAAGAAAAGCACAGCCTTCAGGGTCTGATCTACGAAGAGTTAATATCTTAAGAGCTAAACAGAACTGTATTAATTCCTCTTTTAACGAGCCAGGAGGACAAGAGGATTCTACAAGACCAGAGGACACCAGAACAGTCAGGAAAGAATTAGAGTGAGCTCTCTGGAGGAAACAAGAACTGTAAGTTTATATTTGTATTGTGTTGCCTGTCTCCCTGGCATCCAGGCAACACATCCCTAGGTCATCTTTGATACTGTCACTCTCTTGACTCCATTCCATTTTTAACTAGTTGCCAAGGCTTTTCATTCTCCTTTCCCAGTGTCTTTGTGATCCATTCAGCTCTTCCATCTTTCATCCTTCCTCATTCAAGGCCACTTGCCTGAACCACAGCAATATCCTTACATTCCTCCTGTCAGTCTCTCTCACTCACTAACGTCAGATAAATCTTCCTGAAGCTCTTCCTTAGCTCTAACTCTAAAGCTCTTGTGCTCAAAATATGTCATCGCTGCCAATTATCTGCAGAATGAATAAGACTCTTCTGACTTACATGCAAGGTCTTTAAAAATATGCCTCCTTTCACTTAAATTCCTACAACTCTCTTTCTCAAACTCAGCATGCCTACCTGCTACTGTCCAGGACCACCCTGCCCTTTGCACACCCCTGACTACATCCAACCGGGCCTCTCTGTGGAATACTCTGTCTCCACCTGCCAATATCCCTGCCAGGCTTCAACAGTTGCCCCTCCATTAAGCTTTATCTGGTCTTTCAAGTGAATGTGAATCTCAGTCTTCCTTTACACTCTTATTTTGCTTTGTTTTTCTCTGACTTTTTTTATTTTACCTTACAGTTAAGAATGTGTTTTTCTTGTTTCCCTTCTTAATTATTCACCTCCTAAGAGCAATTTTTTTTTCATCCTGTAGCAACTGCACAAAATGGGCACACAGTAATACTTGTTAAATTAGGTTCAATCCAAATTCCAGGATTCCTGTCAGCTTTTCTAAACGTTTATACAACTCATGCTACAATTACGGAGCCTGCACTCTTCTCCACAGCCTCTCTTTCTCTCTATTCCAAGTTTCTCAATACTTATGTCTCTCATTTGCTTCTATCCTCTTACATAAGGTCAGCTCCTCCTGGTTCTCTTGCTTACTATAAGAATATTTTTTTAAAGGTCTGTTCATAATTTGTCCCTTCCTGCCCCCAGACCTTCAACTCAAAGTAACCCACTGTAGCTCCCCTCTCAGGGACTTGACTCTTTTGGGGGCCTTCAAAAAATTTCTTGTACAGTGGGAAGACTTAAATTCCCAATCCATATTCATTTTGAAATAGTTAAAACCCTATTTCTATATTTTGTCATGCAGGCCTACTTAATCCATTAATTTTTAATTGAGGGAAATATTTTTGCAGCATCATTTCCTGTGCACTACTGATATGCTACTGGCATTCCTTTGAACAGATTCTTCACCTGATTTCTGGATTTTTTTAATTCCTCCTCTCTCCTACTCAAATCAGTGACACCCCTATGGCTTTTGTGTTCTTGGTATAGAGGAAAACTAAAAAAAAAACTTTGTAAAATCATTAAAAGCAATTCCAAAAAAGGAAAATACTTTCTGCTACAATCAATGTCATAATAATGCATCAGCTAAAAATTATTATACATTTGCAGGTACCAGGCACTGTGTTAAGCAGTCTATATACAAAGATATCCTCAAAAGAGCTTATGGACCAAAAAAAAAGAGCTTATGGACTAGTGAGGAGACACGTGATATGTGAGTACTATAGAGAACTGACTCATATATTTTTTCAAAGATTTATTTATTTGTTCATTAGAGACACACAGAGAGAGAGAGAGGCAGAGACACAGGCAGAGGGAGAAGCAGGCTCCTTGTTGGAGCCTAATGTGGGACTTGATCCCCGATCCAGGGATCTCAACCTGAGCCGAAGGCAGCTGCCCAACCACTGAGCCACCCAGGCATCCTGAGAACTGACTCATATTAAGCCAACACACAAGAAAATCATGTATGGCATAATTTAAATCAGTAACTTATACAGATAAATACAGTGTAAACTTATCAACCAGCCAGAGACTAGTTCAGTGGACACAACAAAAACAACTAGCATTTACCTAACTTGGAACCTGTACTAAATATCAACCATTATGTTGAACTTTTTATAGGCATTATCTTAATTGATCCTCATCATAACCATATGAGGTTATGGTTATCCCTGTTTCATAGATAAAAAAGCTAAGAAAGTGGTTAAGTAATTTGTCTATGGTCACACATGACAGAAAGATGGGAATCCATGTCTTTCTTATTCTTAGGTTCTTGATTATAGTCACGATTTACAGTTCATTCTCTCTAAATTAAATCAGAGGGGAGTATAAAATCAGAGATAGAGGAGGTGGCTGTATAATTATTATTACTGGGGTCATCAAGCTGGCTTTATGCATCCATCACTCTTAAAGGATTATTCTTTGTTCTCCCTCACTCTACGTTTGCCCCAGTGCCCTACAATTCCAAAGATTACTTCAAGGGAATTCTTTTAGTTTTTCATTCCATTGAGTTAAAAATAATTGATAAACCCTCCTTACTTACATCTACTCTCCAATCCTTTTTCCCTGGGAGATTAAATCTGGCCACTTCATTGGATTTAGATGTTCCTTTAATCATGCCTTCACTGACTTTCTTTCTGGGGTTTTCTTTTCTGGAATTCTGAGAAACTCCATGTCTTTACTGGAGCTCCTTTGACTTCAGTTTTAGTACTTTTCGGTCTCTCCATGATGCTATACAGCTTTAGTGGTGTATTTTGGAATGGTCAGAAATGAGGACAATCTTCTGTGGCCTTAGATAGTAAAAGAACTACAGCATCTCTTCTGCTATAGTTCTGTTTTTGCAAATGGCTTGAGGTCCAGAGGACAGGCCTGTAACACTGTCATCTCTCCTTTTCCTTCATGTTACTTCTCCACAATAGGAGGCTGGGAAGATGGGATAATTTAGCAAACTTGCAAAAGCTACCTTAAATGTGAGATTTACTTTATTTTTTATTTTTTTTAAATTTTTATTTATTTTATGATAGTCACACACAGAGAGAGAGAGAGAGAGGCAGAGACATAGGCAGAGGGAGAAGCAGGCTCCATGCACCGGGAGCCTGACGTGGGACTCGATCCAGGGTCTCCAGGATCATGCCCTGGGCCAAAGGCAGGCGCCAAACCAGGGATCCCTGAGATTTACTTTAAAACAAAATGGTGTGCTCGCTTCGGCAGCACATATACTAAAATTGGAACGATACAGAGAAGATTAGCATGGCCCCTGCGCAAGGATGACACGCAAATTCGTGAAGCGTTCCATATTTTTAACTCTGGGAAATGAACTAGGGGTGGTGGAGGGGGAGGAGGGCGGGGGGTGGGGGTGAATGGGTGACGGGCACTGAGGGGTACACTTGACTGGATGAGCACTGGGTGTTATTCTGTATGTTGGTAAATTGAACACCAATAAAAATTAATTTATAAAATTAAAAAAAAAAACAAAACAAAATGGTCAGGGCACCTGGGTGGCTCAGTCAGTTAAGTGTATGTGTTGTGATCTCAGGGTCCTAGAATGAGCCCCATGTCAGGCTTTCTGCTCCAGGGGGGACCTGCTTCTTCCTCTCTTCCCCACTCATGTTCTCTCTATCTCTGTTGTCATCTTTGTATCTCTCAAATAAATAAATAAAATCTTAAAAAAAAATGATTTCCATGATGGCTTCCATTCTGTTCTAATCTTAGGACTATTGTCTAACATGAAAAGACATCCACTTCGGGTGACTGTTTAGTTTCTTTAAAATAGGCATGTGATAGGGATGCCTGGTTGGCTCAGCAGTTGAGTGTCTGCCTTCGGTTCATCCTGGATTCTCAGGATCTAGTCCCACATCAGGCTCCCTGTGGGGAGCCGGCTTCTCCCTCTGCCTGTGTCTCTGCCTCTCTGTGTCTCTCATGAATAAATAAATAAAATCTTTAAAAAAATAGACATGCTATAAATTCTGTATAGATCCACTTAAAATTATATCATTAGAAAGATGTCCTCCACTTATTATGGTTTTAAAAAATGAAACATTACAGAAGGAAATATGAAGGATCTAATTCAAGTTAAATTATCCGGAAAGTAGATCAACAGATATTAATATCCTCTCCCAGTGATAGAATGTCTATTATATTTCTCTATCTGTTCAAAGTAAGCTTGTAAACAAGCCTCTTCAGGAGCTAGCTCCTGCAGAAATGGGATATTTGTTATCCAGGACATAGGATTCTCCTATAGAACCCAAGAGCAGGAACAGAGACAGTCCTTGGAAAAGACTAGAATCAAGAACAGAAAGCTTCCAGGACTTTTTAACTCATCTCAGTCATTCAATGTCATTTCTCTCTCTTGATTTGTTTACTTGTTCATCTATTTATTTATTCAACGTATGTTTAGTAGAACCTTCTATGTTCTAAGATCTGGGAAATAGAGGTAAACAAAATTAACCAATTTTCTGCCTTCAAAGTCCTTTTATTTTAGTGAGAGAAGACGATAAATAAATATAATACAAAGTTTTGAGTATGTTAGTAGTGTTACAAGGGAAATAAACAGGGCAACATACAGAGTAAACTGAGGAAGTGCTCACTTTAGTTATGAAGGTCAGAGAAAGTCCTCTTGGCAAGTGAAAAGATACTGAGAGACTGAAGGATGAGATGGAAACTGCCATGTAAGGGAAAGAGCATTCCCGTAAAGTACCAAGGCCTTAGGGCAAGGAACTTGATGGTTGGGGGAGCAAAGAGGAGGCCAGTGTCCAGGAGTGTTGTTTGCTGGGGAAGAGGTGTTCAAGGTATGGATCTGAGAAATACGAAGAAGGTCAGATCATGGAGGGCTTGGTCAGCCATGGTAAGGTGTTTAGATTTGATTTGATTTAACTGATTGATTGATTGATTGATGATTGAGGGAACACATGAGCAGGGGGGTGGGGCAGAGGGCGAGTGGGAGAGACAATCTTAGGCAGGCTTCATGCTGGGCATGGAGCCTAACACAGGCCTCGATCTCACGACCCTGAGATCATAATCTGAGCCAAAATAAAGAGTCAGATGTTTTACTGCCTGAGCCACCCAGGGTCCCCAGATTTTATTTTATTTTTATTTTTTAAAAGATTTCATTTATTTATTCATGAGAGACAGAGAGAGAGAGGCAGAGATGCAGGCAGAGGGAGAAGCAGGCTCCATGCAGGGAGCCCGATGTAGGACTCGATCCCAGGACCCTGGGGTCACGCCCTGAGCTGAAGGCAGAGGCTCATCCGCTGAGTCACCCAGGTGCCCCGTCATTAGAAACTTTGGATACTAATCCTTCATCAGGTATATCATTTACAAATACCTTCTCCCATTCTATAGGCTGCTTTTAGTTTTGTTGATTATTTTCTTTGCTGCACAGAAGCTGTTTATCTTGAAGTCCCAGTAGTTCATTTTTGCTTTTGTTTCCCTTGCCCCGGGCAACTTGTCTAACAAGAAGTTGTTATGGCCAAGGTCAAAGAGGTTGCTGCCTGTGTTCTCTAGGATTTTGATCGTTTCCCGTCTCACGTTAAGGTCTTTCATCCACTTTGAGCTTATTTTTGTGTGTGGTGTAAGAAAGCGGTCCAGTTCCAGTCTTCTGCATGTTGCTGTTCAGTTTTCCCAACACATTTGTTGAGGAGACTGTCTTTTCCTATTGCACATGCTTTCCTGTTTTGTCAAAGATTAGTTGGCCATGAGCAACAGTATTTCAAGCCAAAGACTGGATACTAAAATCCAGGAAAAGAGTGTTAAGCAAGGTGTGAGGCAACTCTACAGATAGACTTTCAGTCTACAGAGCAGATCATGGCCATACCAGAACTCCCAAGTTTATAGAATAGTTCTAGCTCTCCAAAGAGGTTAATTTAACTCTCTCAGTCTCATTTCCAACCATCTGAAAAAGAGAATCTGATTGGCCCAGCTTGGGTCAGTTGTCTATTCCTGGTCTTTTTTTTTTTTTTTTAAGATTTTACCCATTTATTCATGAGAGACACAGAGAGAGAAGCAGACAGGCAGAGAGAGAAGGAAGCTCCCTGCAGGGAGCCCGATGTGGGACTCAATCCTGAAACTCTGGGACCACGCCCTGAGCCAAAGGCAGCGGCTCAACCACTGAGCCACCCAGGTGTCTCCGTCTATTCCTGGTCCAATGAATAATGACTATGGGTCCTGGATCACAAACTATAAACTGGTTACTGGAGGGTCAGTCTCTGTAAATGGAGTGGGGAGGTAGGGGTCAAAGGCTTCTTTCTTAGAGAAAGGGATGATCACTGGCTTCCAGGATAAGCAGACACTTAAAAAATGACCCCAAATGATATGCATAAATTCTATAATCAGAAAAATTGATTTCTAAAAATTATTTATTTATTTATGATAGTCACACACACAGAGAGAGAGGCAGAGACACAGGCAGAGGGAGAAGCAGGCTCCATGCACCGGGCGCCCGACGTGGGACTCGATCCTGGGTCTCCAGGATCGCGGCCTGGACCAAAGGCAGGCGCCAAACCGCTGCGCCACCCAGGGATCCCAGAAAAATTGATTTCATTTAAAATAAGTAAGGTCCTTATTCCTGAATGCCTAGTCTTTTTTTTTTTTTTTTTAAGTAAGCTCCACAACCAGCATGGGGCTTGAACTCAGAACCCTGAGATCAATAGTCACATGCTCTATGAGCTGAGCCAACTAGGCACCCCAAAGTATTTCATTTTTCATTTTAAGTAATCCATTCCTCAGTGGGGGCTTGTACTCACAACCCCGAGATCAAGGGCCACATGCTCTACTGACTGAGCAGGCCAGGCACAACTTAGTCTTTTTTTTTTTTTTTTTTGCACCACTTAGTCTTTTTTTATTTTATTTTATTTATTTATGATAGAGAGAGAGAGAGAGAGGCAGAGACATAGACAGAGGGAGAAGCAGCCTCCATGCACCGGGAGCCCGACGTGGGATTCGATCCCGGGTCTCCAGGATTGCGCCCTGGGCCAAAGGCAGGCGCCAAACCGCTGTGCCACCCAGGGATCCCCACCACTTAGTCTTAAAAGAGTGGTCAATACCACCACAAAAAAATGCTGGTGTGTCATGTCCCATCAAAAAAGTGTTGATAAATTCCCCCTACAACTAAATGCGGCCTGCAGAAGATATCCTAAAGTTGGACATAATTGACTGGATTTTTCCTTTATTTCAGTGCCCTCTGGGATCTCCTATAGCTTGGGAACTGATAACGACATCACATCTCCTGCATACAGCGCATCAAAGGACCTATTAGAGACATATACTGATACCTGTGATGGTACCAGTGTCAAAAGGTAAATTGTGTCTGAAGGTGGACGTCTTTTAAAATCAAAACAATATTCAGTCTGTCATTGTGGGGCATCTTGCCGGCCTCCACAGTGACTGCTTTGCTCTCAGCTCTCTTCCTCAATTTCCTCAACATTTTATTCCTAAATTCTTATAACACAAGTTTTACTATGTGAATTTAGGAGGTAAAGCTAAACACCACCACGACAAAAGCGGAGAACAAGTGAGTGGTCTCGTTCCTCTATCCATGTGATTAGCCCCTCACTCTAAGTAGGGTGGGCAATCTAAGATGAAAGAGCACAACCCCACAAGACCTTCTTCCACACTTACCTTAAGATATTTTTGTAACTTTGTTCCTAGTCTCCCACCACTCAATCTTAACCATAGGTATTATTGAATCTATGTTCATTTGATTTCACCTTAAATTTTTTCAAGGGTAGGATGCTTTATGCACTGTCCATGGGTGCATAAATGGTGAGATCACTTGGGAAAAAATTTGGCATTATCTAGTAAAGTTGAACATGCTACTTTACTGCTGGGTAAAAAATTTGCAGAAATTTTTGTGGTGTGTACCAGGAGACATATGCCAGAATGGTCATAGCAGTGTTATTCATAAGACAAAAAATGGAAACAACCATAAAGTGTGCACAGTTCAGAAAATGAATGCACATTGATATATATTCATACAGTGAAATTACACATGTATTTTCTTTATAATAAAATAAATCTAATAGTATTTATAAAATTATGAAGAAATATGAAGTAGTTAGTAATAATAGAACATTCAAGATGGTAGTCACCTCTGGGAGAAGAAAGAAATAGTATGGGTGGAAACTTAGAGGGTTCTTCGTGTACTAGTGATGTTCTGTCTCTTTTTTTTTTTAGTTTATTTTTGATGTTCTGTTTCTTTCTTTTTTTTTTTTTAAATATTTATTTATTCATTCATTCAGAGAGAGCGAGGAGAGAGGCAGAGACACAGGCAGAGGGAGAAGCAGGCTCCATGCAGGAAGCCCGATGTGGGAATCGATCTCAGGTCCCCGGGATCACACCCTGGGCTGCAGGCGGCGCTAAGCTGCTGCGCCACTGGGGATGCCCTATGGATATGTTTCCTATATCAGTACTCTGCTGTCTTGATTATTCTAGCTTTATAATAAGTTTTGAAATCAAGATGTACAAATCCTCCTACTTTATTTTTCAAGGTTATTTTAGCTATTCTGGGTTCCTTGCATTTCCAAATAAACTTTAGGATCAGCTTGTCAATGTGTGGGGGAAAAAAAGCCAACTGGAATTTTGATAGGGACTGTGTTGAATCGTACATGAATTGTGGAAATCTTGGCATCTTATCAATATTAAATCTTGAAATCCATAAACATGGGATGTCTTCCTTTTTTTTTTTTTTTTTTTTTTTAAGATTTTACTTAAGGGCACCTGGGTGGCTCCACTGGTTAAGTGTTTGCCTTCGGCTCAGGTCATGATCTCAGGGTTCTGTGATCAAGCCCCCTGCATGGGACATCGATGGAGCCTGCTCAGTGGGACATCTGCTTCTCCCTCTCCCTCCGCCCCTTCCCCTGCCTGTGCACATGCACAGGCTCTCTCTCTTCGTCTCTCAAATAAATAAGTAAAGTTTTACTTCTTAATGTGTTAATAAATAAGTAAAAGTAATGTGTTAATAATGTGTTAAAGTTTTACTTATTAATGTGTTAACAAATAAGTAAAGAGTTACTATTTATTTGACAGAAAGCAAGTGAGTGAGGTGGTGGGGAGGAGCAGAGGGAGAGGGACAAGCCGACTCTCTGTTGAGCACAGAACTTGGGTTTGTGCTTAACAGGTTTGTGCAGGGCTTGATCTCATAACCCTGAGATCATAACCTGAGCTAAAATCAAAAGTCAAACACTTAACCAACTAAGCCACTCAGGCACCCCACATTATTGATTTTCATATGTTAAAACCAGCCTGTATTCCTGGGATAAGTTCCCTTTGGTCATGGTGAAAAGCCTTTTTATGTGCTGTTTGTTTCAGTTTGCTATTATTTTAATGTTAATTTTTTTCAATTTTTTATTTAAATTCTAGTTAGTTAACATACAGCGCAATGTTGGTTTCAGGAGTAGAACTGAGTGATTCATCACTTACATACAACACTCAGTGTTCATCATATCAAGTGCCCTCCTTAATACCCATCACCCATCTAGCCCATCCCCACCAACCTCCCTCCATCAACCTTCAGTGTATTCTCTATCTGTAAGAGTCCTTATGCTTTGTTTTCCTCTCTCTCATTTTTTCTTTTCTTTTTTTCATAGCACATCTTCTTTATCCATTCACCTATCTTGGGTTGCTTCCATATCTAGACTATTCTAAATAATGCCAAAGTAAACATAGGGATGCATATATCTTGTCAAATTCGTGTTTTGGGGGTTTTTGGGTAAGTACCCTGTAGTTGAATTAATGGATCATATGTTAATTCATTTTTAATTTTTTAAGGAACCTCCATACCTCCACGTTTTCCACAGTGGCTACAGCAATTTATGTTCCTACCAACAATGCACGAGGGTTCCTTTTTCTCCACATCTGTGCCAACACTTGATATTTTTTGTCTTTTTGATACTAACCATTCTGAGAGATGTGAGGTGATATCTCTTTGTGGTTTTGATTTGCATTTCCCTGATTATTAGTGATGTTGAATATCTTTTCAGATCTTAGTTGTTGTTGTTTTTATTTTATTTTATTTTTTTAAAGATTTTATTTATTTATTCATGAGAGATACAGAGAGAGAGAGAGGCAGAGACACAGGCAGAGGGAAAAGCAGGCTCCATGCAGGGAGCCCGACACAGGACTCAAACCCAGGTCTCCGGGATCATGCCCTGGGCTGAAGGCAGCACTAAACCTCTGAGCCACCCAGGCTGCCCCTGTTATTGTTTTAAATTAAGCTCTATACCACATGTGGAACTTGAACTCAAGACCTCGAAATCAAGAATGGCATGCTCTGCTGACTGAGCCAGCTAGGGGACCCTATAGTTTCTTGGCTTTGTTTTTTCTTTAAGTAGGCTCCATGCCCAACATTGGGCTTGAACTCATGACCCTGAGATCAACAGCTGTGTGCTTTACCAACTAAGCCCGCCAGGCGCCCCACTCATATCTTTGTCTTTTTTTTTTTTCCTTTTTTCACATCTTAGTTTTAAATATAATTGTCCACTAGAAGGAACCAGGGGTTTGGGCAAAAAACGTACAAGGTGAGCCTAGAAACATCTTATTATATCCAAAAATGTGGAAATTCTCAAAAACTCATAGAGAGGGATCCCTGGGTGGCGCAGCGGTTTGGCGCTTGCCTTTGGCCCAGGGCGCGATCCTGGAGACCCGGGATCGAATCCCACGTCAGGCTCCCGGTGCATGGAACCTGCTTCTCCCTCTGCCTGTGTCTCTGCCTCTCTCTCTCTCACTGTGTGACTATCATAAATAAATAAAAAAGTTAAAAAAAAATTAAAAAAAAACTCATAGAGATATTTCTAAAGGACACCAGAACCAGCTGAAAAGGCTCACACTGGCTGAATCTGGAACAATTTGAGTGTCAACATGAATAATGATTTTTTTTTTTAATGATAGTCACACAGAGAGAGAGAGAGAGGCAGAGACACAGGCAGAGGGAGAAGCAGGCTCCATGCACCGGGAGCCCGACGTGGGACTCGATCCTGGGTCCCCAGGATGGCGCCATGGGCCAAAGACAGGTGCCAAACCGCTGCGACACCCAGGGATCCCCATGAATAATGATATTGATGGATTATTCACCCATTGAATAAAATAGGAATCCATGGGATTGCATACATATAAATAAATATATTAATAAATAAATGTAGTAAAGAGAAATTTTTACCTTATAGTAGAATTCCAACTAATAAATGTAGAAGGAATAATAGAATTAGAATTATACTGTGGTTATGTCCTTATTTTCAGGAGATATACAATGAAGTGTTTAGATGTAATGGAATATCATGTGTACAATTTACTTCCAAGTGATTCCAAGAAATAATAGAGAATATATGTAATATTACATATTGTGAGATATATATATTTGTAAAACAGTTGGACAGATTTTTTTTTAAAGATTCTATTTATTTATTCATGACACACACGCACACACACACAGAGGGAGAGAGAGAAAGGCAGAGAGAGAAGCGGGCTCCATGTGGGGAGCCCGACGTGGGACTTGATCTTGGGTCTCCAGGACCAGGCCCTGGGCTGAAGGCAGTGCTAAACCACCAAGCCACCCGGGCTGCCCAGACTTTTAAAAAGTTAAACATACACCTATCTTATGACCCAGCTATTCCACTCCTATGTATTTACCCAAGAAAAATTAAAACATGTCCACACAAAGACTTAGACAAAGATTTTCATAGCTGCTGTATTTGTAACAGCCAAAACCTAGAAGCAATTCAAATATCCACCAACACTAAATGGATAATAAATTATGGTATATCTGTACAGTGAAATGCTACCAGCAATCAAAAGAAACTACTGATATAAGAAACACCGTGGATGGGATCCCTGGGTGACGCAGCGGTTTAGCGCCTGCCTTTGGCCCAGGGCACGATCCTGGAGACCCGGAATCGAATCCCACGTCGGGCTCCCGGTGCATGGAGCCTGCTTCTCCCTCTGCCTGTGTCTCTGCCTCTCTCTCTCTCTCTGTGTGTGTGACTATCATAAATAAATAAAAATTAAAAAAAAAAAGAAACACCGTGGATGAATCTCAAAATAATTATACTGAGTGAAAGAAATCAAACCACCCCTCTAAACTAAAAAATAAAACGAGTACATAATGGATGTTTTGATCTATATAAAATTCTAGAAAATCAGAACTATAGCAACAGAAAGCCATCATCAGTGGTTGCCTGGGGACTAAAGTGGAATTGGTGTTAAGGTAGGGTGGAAAGCAATGGATCACAAAGGGGCACAAGGAAATTTGGCAACGATGGATATAGTCATTATCTTATGTGATGGTTTCACAGTTATATACAGATGTCAAAATCAACCAAATTTTTACACTTTAAGTATATTCAGTGTATTACATGCCAATTACACTTCAATAAAGCTGTTTTTTAAAAAAATATATGATTTCCAAAGTCTAAACCAGAGAGGCAGTAGTGGTGGCTGCAGTGGTTCTGAGACTGAAGTTCTGAACTCTTTCCTCCAGGAAAGGAGCTATATTTTGAGCGTTGGAATCTTAAGATCTTTCTCATGAAATCAGACCTGACTGTGGGTCAGTGAACACTCACACACTGAAAAGTGTACTCTACTTTCCTCTGCTTAGACCACGCAGATGCTCTATGTCAAGGAGGCAAATTTGGGGACAGTTTCTCCAAACCATGAAAACAAATGAGATGACTTGGTAATCAAGAAAGGTTTCTATCCTTTTCCTTAGTAAGGGTTTGAAGATAGTTGTGGGCACAACTTTGTCTAGGTCCAAATTATCTAGTAAGGAGGAAAAAACAGAAGAGTAAATTAAAAAGAAAAATTAAGTAGATTAATAGCTTTGTTTGATATTTTTATTTTCTATTTTTTTGTTTGATATTTTTAAAAATAGAATGTACTTTCTAGACAGGATGTTGAGTCATACCTTATGCTGGAGCAGTATGGAATGATATTCCACATCCAGGAATGATCTGAAATGATAAAGAGATCCATTAGCATGCATTTCATATCCTTCCTGAATTTCCTCTCAAACACTCAAATCAAGATAGACTGAAGCCCTTTGGACAAGATGTGATGAGAGACCTGATGGGTTAAAAAAAATTACATGTAAAATAATCTCTATGTACCCTTTCCTGGGACTTTAGGTAAGAATATGAAAGCTCAACCACCCTTGAGCAGAATGAGCCGGGAAGAATTGGAGGACAGCTTGTTTCGTCTTCGTGAAGAGCACATGTTGGTGAAGGAGCTTTCTTGGAAGCAACAGGATGAGATCAAAAGGTACCTTGTGTTCTCCTTAAGTCTTTTTTTTTTTTAACATTTTATTTATTTATTCACAAGAGATAGAGCGACAGGCAGAGACATAGGCAGAGGGAGAAGCAGGCTCTATGGATCCTGGAGTCTGGGATCACACCCTGAGCCAAAGGCAAACAAAGCTCAACCACTGAGCCACCCAGGCATTCCCTCCTTAATTCTTTAAAAGCTGGAGAACAAAAGGGCAAGTAAGAGAAGAAGGTTTTTATTTGCAAAACAAAACCAAAAATCATATTGGTCATTTACTGTATGTAAGGCATGTTGTAAGTTCTTTATATATGTTAACTAACTTACTGTTATAAATGTAATTAACTTATTTAATACTAGGAGGGGGGATCCCTGGGTGGCTCAGCGGTTTGGCGCCTGCCTTTGGCCCAGGGCATGGTTCTGGAGTCCCAGGATCCAGTTCCATGTCGGGCTCCCTGCATGGAGCCTGCTTCTCTCTCTGCCTCTCTCCTCTCTCTCTCTCTCTCTCTCTCTCTCTCTGTCTCTCATTAATAAATAAATAAAATCTTTAAAAAAAAATACTAGGAGGGAGGTGTTAGTAAGAGGAAAAGGAAATATAAAGAAGTTAAGTAACTTCTCTAAAGTCAAAGCTAATGGGCAAGTGGCAGTGCTGAAAGCTCTTAACTCTGAAATTATACCATGTACAGTGACCTTACAGTATTGGCTTTCAAAAGTGGATCTTTCAGGTGAGGACCTGGAGAGGAATCTGAGATGGAGTGTGTCTAGATAAACAAATGGGAAGAATGGGAGTTCTGAAAGTTCAGACTTTATCTCTAGGACATATTTTTTTTTAATTTTTTTTTATTTATTTATGATAGTCACACACAGAGAGAGAGAGGCAGAGACACAGGCAGAGGGAGAAACAGGCTCCATGCACCAGGAGCCCGACATGGGATTCGATCCTAGGTCTCCAGGATCGCGCCCTGGGCCAAAGGCAGGCGCCAAACCGCTGCGCCACCCAGGAATCCTTCTAGGACATATTTTGAAGATATTGGTGTCAATGTCTTTTGGCCAAAGACTAGCAGGAACATACCTGTAGTTGAATAAGTTTGGTTTATTACTCGTTGCAGCTAGAGAAATGCACTCCATGGGGAACTATGGTCATCTCAGTTAGAATGTGTTGGAAAAAATCTATTACAGGATTTGAATTTCATTTGGGTGATTTGTAGGAGGGTCCAAGGAAATGGGAGTTTGCTCCAGATTTGATACCGTTAGAAAGCTGGGACAATCCTGTATTTGGATATCTCAGTAAATTTTTTTAAAGGTTTCGTTTGCTTATTTTTTTTATTCACTTTAATTTTTTTTAGAGATTTTATTTATTTATTCATGAGAAACACAGAGAGAGAGGCAGAGACACAGGTGGAGGGAGAAGTAGGCTCCCCTCGGGGAGCCCAATGCAGAACCTGATTGATCACCAGGACCCCGGGATCACGGCTTGAGCCAAAGGCAGACACTCAACCGCTGAGCCACCCAGGCTCCCAGATTTTGTTTATTTATTTGAGATTGCACGTGCATGCACACAAGGGTTGGGGGAGGGACAGGGGGAGAGGGAGAAGCAGATTCCCTGCTGAGCACAGAGCCAGACACATGGGGGCTTGATCCCAGGACCCCAAGATCATGATCTAAGCTGAAGTCAGACACTTAACCGACTGAGCTGCCCAGGTGCCCTGATACCTCAGTAAATCTTATCCATGGGGAAGGTAGACTAGAGTGAGGCTAAGCTAATTGGTTAGAATAGCAGTCACTCATTAACTAGGAAAAGAAAGTGTTTGGTATTTTGTGTGTAGCACAGTGACCTTGTTTTTGTCCGTGTTTAGACAAAGTGATGGGTTGGCCTTGTTCAGTATCACTCCATCATGATTTCAGTGGCCTTGTCTGATGTCGGTGTTCTGTGGGATTATATTCAACAGGATAATAACATGGTCTAGCTGTGAACCCCCAGCCCACTTCAAACAACACTGGGAACTAGTCATGTCAGACCAATTCCCCAACGTCAAGAGCAACTTTTTGCTTTCTCACTGGTAATCCCCAAGAGTGGTTCAGAGCTTCATTTTGAATCTACAGGATACAGGGACACCTGGATGGCTCAGTTAGTTAGGCGTCCGACTTTTGATCTTGGCTTGGGTCTTGGTCTCCAGGTTGTGAGTTCAGGCCCTGTATTGGGCTCCACATAGCCTGGAGCCCACTTAAAAAAGAAAAATCTGTAGGATACGGGCTTCCATTGTAAGTTAGCACTCTTCAGAGTAGAGATTCTTTTATAATGAGGAGAACTCTAAAATCTGGTGAAAGCAGGAGGTTGCATTGGCCAAAAAATCTTGCTTCTTGGTTGATAACTAAAAAGTACTTGAGAGAAAAAAAGAAGTACTTGAGATTATAGATGTTAAGTAGCTAAATTAGATTCCATACCCCTGACCTCCCCTTGCTTTGGGCAAATTACCTGGCTATATTTTATATTTTGTTTTCTCTATCTGGATATAATGATATGTAATAATAACTAACTCATACAGTCCTCACAGTGCACAGCATTGTTTTAAACACTTTACATATGTTAATTGATTTAATCCTCATAACAATCTACTGAAGTAAATGTTATTTATTTTTTTTAAGATTTATTTATTTATTCATGAGAGACACACAGAGAGAGGCAGAGACACAGGCAGAGGGAGAAACAGGCTCTTTGCAGGGAGCCTGATGTGGGACTCGATCCTGGATCCTGGGCTCATGACCTGAGCCAAAGGCAGGTGCTCAATCGCTGAGCCACCCAGGCGTCCCAGTAAGTGGTATTTTTATCTTTATTCATAGACAAGGAAACTGAGCACAAAAGGTTAATGATATGCCCAAACCCACATAAACAGTATGTCAGAACTGGCAGGTGTGGGGGACCACACACTCTGATGGTGAAGGTTGAAAGCATGATTTTAGGTCACGATGACAAATAGTGAGGGGGGTGCCCAACTGGCTTAGTCTATAGAGCATGCAACTCTTGATCTTGGGGTTGTGAGTTCAAGCCCCACCTTGAGTGTAGAGGTTACTTTAAAAAGATGACAGGGACGCCTGGGTGGCTCAGTGGTTTAGCGCCTGCCTTGGCTCAGGGCGTGATTCCAGGGTCCCTAGATCAAGTCCCACATTGGGCCCCCTGCAGGGGGCCTGCTTCTCCCTCTGCCTGTGTCTCTGCCCCTCTCTCTCTTCTGTGTCTCTCATGAATAAATAAATAAAATATTTAATTAATTAATTCATTCATTAATTTAAAAATAAATAAAAAGATGACAGCAATTGACTATCCTCTATAAGTAAGGCTCGGAGTCTACTGGGGGCTGTAGAGCAGTACATGTACTTAAAGTTGGGCACATGTACAGGGGTGTGTGGACAAATGGGATGGGAGAAGTAAATATTAAACTTTGTGTGTGTATGGGATCTCTGGGTGGCGCAGCGGTTTGGCGCCTGCCTTTGGCCCACGGCGCGATCCTGGAGACCCAGGATCGAATCCCACATCGGGCTCCCGGTGCATGGAGCCTGTTTCTCCCTCTGCCTGTGTCTCTGCCTCTCTCTCTCTCTCTCTGTGTGACTATCATAAATAAATAAAAATTTAAAAAAAAACTTTGTGCGTGTATTTAATTATCTCCCCTTTAAAAATTAGTCCTTTTGTTTATGTTGTAACATGACCACAATTTATTGGGACAGAAGTAAATGCATATAATCTAAAAATAAACGTGCAGGTAAACATCTTGAAGAGTGTCCCCCAACAGTCTTTACTAAGACGATTGTGCGATCACTGCGACAGAACGGACACCGCAGTGTCCCTGCCCTCAGGGAATTAATGGGGGATAGAAAGTCAACTTTTTAAAGTGTGAAGACTAGACCACAGTAGGTAACTGCGTGTCACAGGTCGGTCCACTGTTATGTGCCGCCAAAGCAACTGTAGAATCTGATTCACGGAAGGGGAAGCGCTTGCCACCGTCTGTCCCTTTGCTCGCAGGGCGAGGACCGCGCTGCTCCGGCTGACGGCTGCGCACCGGGACCCCAGGGCCCCCGGGGACCCCAGGGACCCCAGCACCCCGGGGGCAGAGGCAGAGAAGCCTGCGAGGCGGCGGCAGGTGCAGCGCCCAGCGGGCTCCCCGGCTCCGCCCAGCCGCCTGCCCCGGGCCCGCGGGGTGCACCGTGGGCTGCGCTCTGTGCGGGGGCCCGACCGAGGCCAGAGGGGTGAGTTCCAACCCCCAGCAGCGCTGCCCTGGGGGAGCATCTGTGGCCGGTCCCTCCCGCCTCTACCCTTCCAGCCCCTGGCCCCCCATGCCTCCTGCCTCCTTGACGTCTTTGTCCCAGGTGCTCCTCCAGGGTCTATATCCCCAGTTCAGTGTCAAGGGCTGCTCAGGAGAGAATCAGACCAAAGAGGAATGTTGCTGGTCATAGTCTGCAGCGTCCCCGGAAAGAGACTAGAATGCACGGTGTCCCCTCCCGGGCAGCACAGTCCTCAGAACAGGGCCCTCTGCAGACACCGGGGCCTGCACCCCGTGGCCCGTCGCTCTGCCTCTAGGGCCACAGTCTTTGCTGCTCGGCCAAGGGCACTCCTTTGGAAGCACAGTCAAGGCGAGGCCTCCTCTCAAGAAACATGCGCGTACACAGAGTGGAAAGTGTGCCTGCTGTGCATCCGGGGAGCTGGCGGGTGCCCCAAGCCCACTCCTGAGGTCTAGGCCCAGAGGTCAGGCCGTGCAGACAAGTTGAGCCTCTCTTCCTCAGTATTCCCACTGGCTAGAGTCTCTGGCGGCTGGAAACCCAGCCCTGGATTCAATAAAATAAATACGTTTCAGTTCAGTTTGGCTCAACGTTAGGGAGCACCAGTTACATACCCGCCACCAGATAAAGATGCACTGGAGTCAGACCCGGGTCCCTTTCTTGTATTCTTCTTCCCGCTTATACTCCCTCACTTGACAGTCCGTAGCCCACGGCTATAAGCCTGCAGGTGCGCATCTACTCCAGAGGAAAGACTGAGAACCTCTGCTCTGCAATCAGAGACCCTTAGGAGGATTCACACACACACCCACACCCCACCCCGCGGGTCTCCAGGCTCCCTACTTCTAGCACTGGGTGGTCTGGAGAAATCTGTTGCAGAGTCTACATCTTCTGCTAAACTTTCAGAGCCCAGGGGCCGGCCGAGCTACACAGCCCCTCCTACATTCAGGGACCAGGCAACAAGTGAGAAGACCGGAGGTGAAATACCCAGTGAGCCGTGAGTTCTTTTCATTTACCTGTACCATTTGTTACTCTTTCTTTTCTTTTTTATTTTATTTTTTTTTAAATTTTTTAAATTTTTTTTTTATTTATTTATGATAGTCACACACACAGAGAGAGAGGCAGAGACATAGGCAGAGGGAGAAGCAGGCTCCATGCACCGGGAGCCCGATGTGGGATTCGATCCCAGGTCTCCAGGATCGCGCCCTGGGCCAAAGGCAAGCGCCAAACCGCTGCGCCACCCAGGGATCCCTTTCTTTTCTTTTTTAAAGATTTTATTTATTTATTCATGAGAGACCCAGAGAGAGAGGCAGAGACCCAGGCAGAGGGAAAAGCAGGCCCCAAGCAGGGAGCCCGCCGTGGGGCTCGATCCCCGGGACCCCGGGGTCATGCCCTGGGCTGAAGGCGGAGCCAAACCGCTGAGCCCCCGATGCTGCCCAATGATGTATTTCCAATTAAAAGTTGAAAGAGTAACAAACGAGGCAGCCCCGGGGGCTCAACAGTTGGCGCCACCTTCAGCCCAGGGCCTGATCCTGGAGACCTGGGATCGAGTACCGCGTGGGGCTCCCTGGATGGAGCCTGCTTCTCCCTCTGCTGGGTCTCTGCCTCTCTCTCTCTCTCTCTCTCTCTCTCTCTCTCTCTCTCTCTGTGTCTATCATGGATAAATAAATAAAATCTTAAAAAAAAAGAAAAAAGGAAATACATCATTTAGGGAACAAGCGAATGGTGCATTTTCAGGTCTTCCCAGCATAATCAGAGAAGATGAAAGCCAGCTTTAGGTCATATTCCAGCTTCATTGCTTAAAAATGGGAAATAAACATCTCTCTGTCTTTGAAGGAAAGGCAAAGGCCTTCTCCTTAATTGAGGGTATTACCTCTCTTTCCGTTTCTATTTCCCTCCCTTAGGTTGTAATTCATTTATATTTCTTTCTTTTTCTCATTTATATTTCTGTTTGGCACTTGAAAGCTGTATTTGGTAAGATTATCCATCGCACATACCAAAAATTACCTCCTCTAACTTTCCTTCATATACGCGGGCACTCAGTTCTAAGCCCCTATAACAGCAGTTTCCATTTTTTCTTTTTGTATAATGTTCCTACTTCTAACAGTGCAATTTCTTTCAGCAAAGTCATAATTATGCCTAAAATCATTGGTCTGTGTATGCCTAATGCTGTTCATGTTATGACCAGCAATACTCTGCTAGTGGAAGAGCCACCCAAATCTCTGGAGAAAATGTGGTCGAAAGGTGAAGAGTTTGAGCAGAGAAGCTCTTTGGAGTGTGCGCAGAAGGCCGCAGAGCTGCGGTAAGAGCGTGGCGGTCCCCCCCAGACTGTGTGAGCTGAAGAGGTCAGAGCTTCTTATTTGCTTCTTTCCTGTGTCAGAGGAAAGGCGGATGCTGGGGGTTAAAGTCAGCCTGCGAAATAGCCCTGGCTTCCCACCCGGGTTAGGAAATGGATTCAACCTAAGAGAGGGTTTATGTATCTTAGAAGATTTGCCGTTTCACGTCACAGAAGGAAAACTTTTTCATCCTCATCACCAGATAGGCGTTCTCAGTAGGACAACTTTTTTTAAGTAGACTCTTCTTTTTTAGAGAAGTTTTAGATTCATGGTAAAGTTGAGCAGGAAGTACCGAGACTTCCCATATACCGCTCACCCCCACCCCAGCCTCCCACTCTAACAACAGCCCATCCCACAGGCATTTTTGTGACAGTGGATGAACCTGCACTGAACATCATTATCACCCAAAGTCCATAGTTTACCTTAGGGCTCACTGTTGGTGCTGCGCATTCGTGGGCTTGGACAAATGTTGAATGGCGTGTATCTCCCACTGTGTATCACACAGAGCGGGTTCAGCCTCCTAAACATCCTCTGTGCTCTGCCCGTTTATCCCTCCCTACCTCCTTACATCTGGCACCACTGATGTTTTTACTGCCTTTATGGTTTTGCCTTGGCCAGAACGTCATATGGTTGGAGCCATACACGATACAGCCTGTTCAGACTGGCTTCTTGCGCTTGGCTCTATGCACTTCCGTTTCCTCCATGTGTTTCCATGGCTTGATAGCTCATTTCCTTTAGCACGGAGTAGTGTTCCATTGTCTGGATGGTCCACAGTTTATTTATCAATTCACCTACAAAAGACGTCTTCGTTGCTTCCAGATTTGGGCAATTATGAATGAAATGGCTGTAAACATCCATGTTCAAACATAGTTTTAAATCTGGAGACTTACTAAAACCACAGAAGCCTGGGGGGAGGTGTAGGGAGGTAGGTTAAATGGGTGATGAGTATTAAGGGGGGCACTTGTGATGAGCACTTGGTGTTGTATGTAAGTGATGAATCACTAAATTCTACACGTGAAACCAGTTTTGCTCTGCATGATAACTAACTGAAATTGAAATTAAAATTTGGAGGAAAAAAAAGAGGTGTTCTATTTCAAAAAAGACAATATTAAGAAACTAAGAAATGACATATGAGGTAATACAATATGGAACATATCCATACATATGGAACACAAAAATCGATAAATAAGTTAATTAAATAAAATCAAAAGCTTGTACATCTTATATAATTTATTTCATATAAACAGATCCTGAAAATTAAAAACAAACAAATGTAGAGAACCTGGGCTCCACCCCAGAGATCCCCTGTCAGTTATTTGGGGGTGGAATTCAGGAAGTATAATTATAAAGATTTCTTCTTCTCTAGATGATTCTAATAAGCAGCTAAGACTGGGAACCACTGAGATAGAGCTAATGAACCCAAATTCACCTCAATACCTTTCAAATAATAAAGAAAATACAATATCCTAGGTTGAGAAATCATCTTCCCTTGAATTTCCCTCCATATCCATACCTTTCTGGTTTCTTTAAGGAAACAGGACTCAGACTCAGCTGGACTTTGCAAAGTTTATGGGAAATTGTGAGCACCATAATTTTAAAAATAGCGATTATGTTTTCTCAGAACACAGAGTTTAAGGTGGGAGGTGTCTCTATCGAATGTCAGGCAATGTGAGGAAAAATGGGAGAATGATTATTTATTGGCGTGTAGATTCGCTTCCTACTTCTGGTGTGTTGTGGCTGAGACAGAGATGCAAGAGGCAAGAGGAAATATTCTTATTGGGTGCGGTGTTGGGGGGAAAGGTGTTTAATTCTGTCCATTCACAGAATGTTTTAGCAGACTCTTCTTTTTCCAGAGCTTCCATTAAGGAGAATATAGAGCTGATTCGGCTTAAGAAGCTCTTACATGAAAGGAATACTTCATTAGTAGCAACAAAAGCACAGTTAACAGAAGTTCAAGAGGTGAGGCGCCAGGGCAGGGCAGTGTGGGATGGTCTGGGGTACCCTCAAATCACAGATCCCTGGGGTCCTTGGCTGTTTGAGAAGCCCCGGGCCCAATCAGGCCTCTAGTTCCAAGGAGAACTCTCTGTCGCCAATTTGGGGTGGGGGAGAGAGCCAGTTAGTAGTATTTCTCCATTATATACACAGAAGACCACAACGGAGGGAAATTAAATTATTTGTTACACAACTTAAAGGGGATATTCAAATCCATGCCTTGCAATTCGGAGTCCGTTCTTTTTCCAGTACTTCGCATTATCTATTATTATCTCAAGCCCTGCCCTTCTAAAGTGGAATTAAGTGTGGTTAACTTGGGCCAGAGTTAAGGTCCCAGCCAAGGGTTACAACCAAAATGTAATTAAGTTGGGAAGCCAAGAGCAGTCACAGGGGAAGGGAAGGAGACTATCTTCACTGAGCACTTTGTATGTGCTGCAATCTGGCCCAGTTGCTTACACTCATGATCTCATTTAAGGCTGACGCAACCCTCCATGTAAGTACGTTTAACAGGTGAGGTCACTGACCCTCAAAGAAGCTAAGTAACTTGCTCAAGTCATAAAAAGAGTAAGGGCAAGAGCAGGCTTTGAGTCCACGTTTAACCGGCACCAAGGCCTATGCTCTTTTCTCATTACCACACAAGGGAAACTCCTGTGTGAATGGCGGGAGTAGGGTAACAAGGGTCTAAGTGATTCTTTTACTGAGTATTTATTGAGTACCAGGAACCGGGGCAGCCCCGGTGGCGCAGCGGTTTAGCGCCGCCTGCAGCCCAGGGTGTGATCCTGGAGACCCGGGTTGAGTCCCACGTCAGGCTCTCTGCATGGAGCCTGCTTCTCCCTCTGCCTCTCTCTCTCTCTCCGAATAAATAAATAAAATATTTTTTTAAAAAAAGTGAGTACCAGGAACCGTGTAAAGCACCAGGACTCAAAGATTACAAAGTAAAACAGCTCCTGCCTTCAAATAACTTACCAGAGCAAGAGAACCAGATGTGAACAATCCAGCCATCCACACAGAGGGTATTGACAGGCACACACGAGAGCATAGCTCTCCCAGAGAATGGGATGTGGGGTCCAGAAAGAATTCCTTTTTTTTTTAAGATTTTATTTTTTTTTAAAAATATTTTATTTATTCATGAGAGACACAGAGAGAGAGGTGCAGAGACACAGACAGAGGGAGAAGCAGGCTCCATGCAGGGAGCCTGATGTGGGACTTGATCCCAGGTCCCCAGGATCATGCCCTGGGCCGAAGGTGGCGCTAAACTGCTGAGCCACCTGGGCTGCCCTAAAGATTTTATTTATCTATTCATTAGTCTCTTTCTCTCTCTCTCTCTCTCTCTCTCTCTCTCTCACACACACACACACACACACAGGCAGAGACACAGGCAGAGGGAGAAGCAAGCTCCAGGCAGGGAGCCCAACTCGGAACTCTACCCTGGGACTCGATCCCGGGACACCAGGGCCAAAGGCGGCACTAAACTGCTGAGCCACCCAGGACGTCCCCAAAAAGGATTCTTTTTTTTTTTTTTTTAAGATTTTTATTTATTTATTCATGAGAGACAGAGAGAGAGAGAGAGACCCAAAAAGGATTCTTTTTTTTCCCAAAAAGGATTCTTAAAGGAGTATATTCATGAACCAAATATTGGGATTCTGAATGATTAGCAGGTGTTAATGAGTGTGCAGGAGAGGGGAAGGTTTTCCAGGGGAGGAGAGATTGTAGGTCAGGACATGGAGGTGAGAAACATCAGGGAAGCCTACCAGGATTTTAGACTTTATCCCATAGACAATGGAGAGCTGCAGAAAGGTTTTAAGTAAGTTGATAACGTGATCAGTCTTTTCCCCAAAGAGATCGCTTTGCGTTTTTCTTTTTTAATGTTTGAATTTTCTTGAAAATACATTTTAATAAGGAAATATGCCTTTAAAAACTATTATAAAACAATAGTAATGATTAACTCTGGATAGTAGAATTATAGATGACTGATATTGTAGTCTTTATATTTTTCTGAAATTTTCAACTTAATCAAAAATCACAAAACTACAAGGAAGGATCATCTGGCAGTGGAGTGAATGGTATAGGTTGGCTGGCAAAATAAAGTGGTTGGTGAAAAATGATTGTAGTTGTCCACAGGAGACAGGATGAGGGTCCCAACCAAGGCAGTGAGAGAAGGCCCTCGGAGAAAGGACTGTATTGGGAACTTCCAGGAAGTAGCGGAATGGACTTCATTGCCAAAAGGGAATGAGTGGAAGAAAGGGGGAAGTGAAAGGCAGGTCCTGGGTGGTTAGCATGGGCGAGCAGATGGTGGTGGTGGTGTCATTCATCCGGATTGGGGATTGGCTAAGGTTACCTCTGCCCCGGGTACTTCTGTTCTGATGGAGATGAAAGGCATCTTTATCTTTACGAGGTCAACCCCCAAACCTGTGTTTTGGAGAGAACTATGCATATGCTTGTATTTTTTGACTTGGTTAATTTGGGTAGCACTTACCGAAATGGAAATAGGAGAAGGAAGGTAGTTTTAAATTGTACAGGTAAACAACAATATTTATAGGATTACATTTTTTAAAAACCCCATCTATTCCTCCATTGCATTAGAGGAAGAAAAGGAAGCAAGCCGTTCTAAATCCTTAGCCATGGTAGCGACAGTGTAGAGATGACCTGAGATGGTGAGTAATCACCAATAATTGTTTAAAATGTAGGTTTTACCATTTGTTTTCTCCAGCAGTTTGCCTTTCTAGTCATCCTTTCTTACACACGTACTTCAAAAAGTTTGCCTTCTCCTACTCCCTTAGCAGTAAACTCTGTTCATCAGTAGCACTAGCTCTGGGGTCAGGAGGCTGAGGTAAGGCCTGTGACTCTGAGCAAGTGACTTAGCTCTCTGAGCTTTGGGTCCCTCATTTTTTAAGGTTTTGGTAATAATAACTCCCTCTTGGATATACTGTGAGGGTCAAATGAGATGATGTCTGTAAAATAATTACAACAACCATAGTGCAACAGGTAATGAAACACACAGTTCTGTTCAACCAATAACAGCTGTTGTAGTTAGTTTGCTTAGCGTTGCTTTTTCTGTTTCTAAAACCGGAAAGAAAACTTTTCCGAAGCATGCTGAGTAAGAGCCATCTACTCTGAAAATAAATAATTTTCTTGGATATTCCACCAAACGCGATACAAATGTGAATAAGTGACCTTCCGTGCTTTTTAAAGAAATTGTGTTATCTGTTATGTTCACAGACTTCCTGGCAAGCTAGGGCGAGGGAAAAGCAATTAGTAAATAAGGAGTCAAAAGGACTTGATTTCTCAGAATTTTTAAATCTTCCTTAAACTAACCATTTAAACATTTGTGTTATAGAGATAAATATCAAAATAAATATCAAGTTAATAAATCAGTAGAATTATATGTATTTCTTTCTTTCAGGCATATGAAACTCTGCTCCAGAAGGTACTTGATAAAGATTCTTTTTTTTTAATTTTTTAAAAAATTTATTTATGATAGTCACACACACAGAGAGTGGCAGAGACATAGGCAGAGGGAGAAGCAGGCTCCATGCACCGGGAACCCGACGTGGGATTCAATCCTGGGTCTTCAGGATCACGCCCTGGGCCGAAGGCAGGCGCTAAACTGCTGCGCCACCCAGGGATCCCGATAAAGATTCTTTGAATCTCTTTTTCTTAGTAGCAAGAATAATAAAACCCAAAGAAATTTGTATTAATCTTCAAGTCACATAACGCCAGAATTTAGCCAAGTAAATTGAAGTTATTATGACCTCGAATTCCTATTAAGACAAATGTCCTATTACTATGATTAGAAGATATTTATTGTGCTTTTTTCATAAAACCAAAATATGAGGTCTGAAATACATGGGATAGTATTTTTCAACCTGTTGCTGGAGAGAATTATATAGCATTTGTTCAGAAATTCCTGAGTATTCCTCTAGTGTGTATAAGGTGACGAAATATAACAAAGTTGTTGCATAGCTTCTGTGATGTTCTGAAATATTCGGTGCCATTCAGTCCTGCAGTGGGTTGCAGGTGGAACTGGGTGAATGGCCACGATTAAGACAGTCACTAAGACAGAGTTCCCAGCCTGAAGAGCCGTTCCTCACCAGACATGTCCACCAGAAAGAATGCACACTTCTAAAGTTAACATGTCACTTTGCTAGGTCAAAGGGAAGAGTGTATCACCCTAAGAAGCATTCAAGTAGCTTAGAAACTAAAGGCAACTGTGACAGGTGTCACTTCACTTAAAGCCAGGGTTTAATTTGAGCCTCGGGAGAAGGAATGCTCCAATTATGGATTACAGTTTCCTGGAGTGGAAAATCCTCACTAATAGGGAAATGATACTTCCTGAGAAACTCTAGGGTGATAAGCAAGGCCAGTTTATAGTACAAAGGTACCTACCATGTTATCAATCAAAGCCATTCTTCTTGACATCCACTGGGGAACGCTAGGGCTGCTGGTATCTTGAGACCAGGTCTGCTGGGTGATACGACCGTTTCCAGAGTAACTTCCCTTTTGCCCCAGAATCAGGGAATCCTGAGTGCTGCCCATGATGCCCTCGTTGGGCAAGTCAGTGAGCTCAGGGCAGAACTGAAGGAAGAGAGCAAGAAGGCTGTGAGCTTGAAGAGCCAACTGGAAGATGTGTCCATCCTGCAGATAACACTGAAGGAGGTAAATAATAATAACCGGAAGGTGGCATCAGTCGTAAGTTACATTTCAACTTCAGAGGTGTTAAAAAGCGTGCCTTAGCAACAATACGGCTATTTCGTTTTTTCAAATGAGAAAAATGAGACTCCAAGTGATTAAGTAATTTGCTCAAGTTTACACCATTAGGGGGAAAACTGGGATTTACATTTGCAACTGTTCTTCAAAGTTTTTGCTGTATTATAATGTTCTGCTGCTTCCTTAACGGTAGAAACCCACCATGAAAATTTGCTTCAGTGAATCCTCATTATTTCCAATAAAATTTTCTATCACACCTTCAGTTGGTTCAAGTCTTTCTAGTTGAGTGGCTCCTCGTAGACATGAGACGTGAACATAGAAAGCCTCCTGCCCAAGCCCCACTCTGCCACAAAAGAGGGGAGACATGCAAGGCAATAGGTATTATGATACTATCTCAGGCATTCTACTGTCATTCTTAGTTTCAGGAGAGAGTTGAAGATTTGGAAAAAGAACGAAAATTGCTGAATGACAATTATGACAAACTCTTAGAAAAGTGAGTACCAAGTTTGGGTCTTGTTATAAAAGACAATTATGGAAAAGTGCCCTTACATTATAAAACAATGCCTAGTGTGGGTAAGGATGTAGGGAAGCTGTTACTGGACAGTTAGTGACAATATTAGTCGGCACAGTCTTTTTGGAAGGGGATTTGATGCTGTCTATCAAAATGCTAAACGTGCATATGCATGTATTTGCAAAGATAATGTATAATAAGAATATTAACTATTACATTGTTGCTAATAGAAAAAAAAGTGGAAACACCCAAATTTCCTTTGATAGGGATTGATTAAATAAGTAAATCATGTTGCGTCCCCACAATAAAATACTATGAAGCTATTAAAAATGAGGTAGACTTGGGATGTCCGGTGGCTCAGTGGTTTAGCGCCTGCCTTGGGCCCAGGGCATGATCCTGGGGTCCTGGGATTGAGTCCTGCATCGGGCTCCCTGCATGGAGCCTGCCTCTCCCTCTGCCTGGGTCTCTGCCTCTCTCTGTGTCTCTCATGAATAAACAATTTTTTTTTGAAAAAATGAGGTAGACATATATATATATGATATATTATTAAAAGAAAAGTCAAGTTACAATGGACATGTTAACTTTGACTTAGGGGGAATGTGTGTGTGTGTGTGTGTGTGTGTGTGCACGTGCATGCATATGACAGAGAGAGAGAATCTGCAAACTTCTAATGAGATGAAAGAATTCGAGTAGGGCCAAGAGGCACCTTAACTTTTATTCTGTATACCTTTGTATCATTTAAATTTTTCACAAGCATATATTCATTTATTAATTTTGAAATTTAAAATATTGGAAGTTTAGGGGCATCTGGGAGGCACAGTTGGTTAAGTGTCTGACTCTTGGCCATGATCCAAGGGTCAAGTGTCTGGCTCAGGCCATGATCTAAGGGTCATGAGATTGAGCCCCACATCGGGCTCAGCACGGAGTCTGCTTAAGACTCTCTCTCTCTCCTCCCTCTGTCCTCCCTCCTCATGCTCTCTCTCTCTTTCTCTCTTTCTCTCTCATCTTTAAAAATAAAATACCTAGAAGTTTAAAAAATTTAAATATAACTTCTGACTCACTTAAAGGCAGCAGGGGATAGTTTGGGGAGGTGGTATTGGGAGCATCCTGGGAATATCTGATGCTCTTCAACTCAGTGAAACAAAGTAGTGTGGGGATTATCACTTTGAAGACTCTGTGTAGCAGACGTTGCTATTAGCCTCTTCCCTCATCACTCAGAATATTATCTGCTTGGATTATCATGTAACATGCGGCTAGGAAGTACCAGGAACTTTTTTCTTAAAGTAGGCTCCATGCCCAGTGTGCGACCCATTGCCGGGCTTGAACTTACAACATTGAGATCAAGAGTCAGATGCTTAACCAACTGAGCCACCTAGGTGCTCCAATAACTCTTTTTTTAAAAGATCTTATTATTTTTTAAATTTATCTGAGAGAGAGTAAGCACGTGAGAGAGAACATGAGTAGGGAGGGGCAGAGGGAGAAGGAGAAGCGGACTTGCTGCTTCCCGAGCAGGGAACCTGACAGGGGACTAGATCCTGGGACCACAGGATCATAACCTGAGCTGAAGGCAGATGCATCCCCAACCGAGCCACCGAGGCGCCACCCCCACCCCTCGCAAGAACTCTTAGTACTAGCTTAAGCAAGTTGTTTTTATTTTTTTATTAAATTTTATTTATTTATATTTATTTATTTATTTGAGAGAGAGTGAGAGCAGAGAGGAGAGGGAGAAGCAGACTTCCCACCAAACAGGGAGCCCGCCATGGGGCTTGACCCCAGGACTCTGGGACCATGACCTGAGCTGAAGGCAGACACCTAACTGATTGAGCCACGCAGGCGTCCCTAGCATGTTGTTTTTAGACCACATTTATTCAAATGATAAATAGGAAAAAGACATCTACGGAAGTAATAGCTTGATTATTATCAATGTCACTTTACTTAGGTAAATAATCAAAGACAGATTGTGTGTGTTTTACACTCAAAATGGGTCTGGCCTGACAGCCAGTTACAATGGTGTGCAGGGTATTATCATTGAAAAGGTTAGTCCCGGGGATCTCTGGGTGGCTCAGTGGTTTAGTGCCTGCCTTCAGCTCAGGGCATCATCCTGGAGACCCGGGATCAAGTCCCACATCAGGCTCCCTGCATGGAGCCTGTTTCTCCCTCTGCCTGTGTCTCTGCCTCTCTCTTTTTCTCTGTATCTCTCATGAATAAATAAATAAAATCTTAAAAAAAAAGAGAGAGAAAAGGTTAGTCCCTGCCCTTCTGTGTAGTAATTTATTAATCTGGCTCAAAGGCAAATATTGTCTAAACCAGCCATTGGTGAAGGTAGATAGAGGAAAGGAGTAAGGAAAAGAGGAATATTTTGTTCCTCATTTATTTGAAAGTCTGTTTCTATAAGTAACCTCTGCACCCTACATGGGGCTCGAACTTACACCCCCACAATCAAGATTCATGTGCTCTTCCAACTGAGCCAGCCAGCTAGGTGCTCCTGTTCCTCATTTTTAATTCAGCAGGCCTGAGAATGTCCTGGTACACAGTATCATGCCTACAGAAAGCCATCATGCTGGAGAAATTCCTTGGGAACTAGATGTGATTTGGGTGGTTTGCTCAGTGGGGTAGCTGAGACCTGAACAGAAGTGACACTAAGGAACTCCGCCACCGGGCCCAGAAGTTCCGAGGCAGTTGGTAAATGACAGTTACACAGAAAGCAGGGACAGTAAAACCATGTAGGGGAACGAACGATGCACTAGGCCCAAGAGATGCTGAAACTGTGCAATAAAGACGTCACATCACACACCTGTGAGTATTTATCTGACAACTCTCGCCTCGCTTCTTACCTGCTCCCCATTCCCAGCATGCTGGCCAGCAGTAATCAGCCTCACTGGAGAAGTGAGCTCGTGGGGGAACAGCTACGGCAGAAAGTCTCCCAGTTGCAGGACCAGCTGGACGCTGAGCTGGAGGAGAAGACAAACATCTTACTTCAACTGTCCAGAGAGAAAGGTAGGTCAGGCTATGAAGACCTTTCTCAAATGAGGCATCTTCTACGTCTTGTGTGGGACAAGGGAACTCAGGCCAGCAGTTCTCCAATCCCCTCACCTGATCCTGTTTTTGTGTAGATCACAGATAACTGCAATAAAACCAGTGGCAATCAGGTCAGATTCACCATCAAGAGAGGTGACACCTACCTCACATGCATACATTTTTACATGTAATGAGTTTTCATTTGAGAGGATGAGAACTCTTAAGTTTATTGGTTTAATTTAATGTATTTATTTGGCGGAGGGCAAAGGGAGAGGGAGAGAGAGAATCTTAAGCAGGCTCCATGCCCAGCGTGGAGCTCCATGTGGGGCTCGATCTCATGACCCCGAGACCATGACCCGTGCTGATATCAAGAGTCAGGCACCCCTTAAATTTATTACTTTTAAACATTCACTTTATTAAAAGTATTGAAAATGAATTTATCTGCCTTCTATTCTTACCAATCGTTTTAGAGGTGATCGGGAGTCTTGTTTTTTGCTTTGTTTTGTTTTAGCACCTGCTACCTCAAATTGAGAAGCAGATGCCCGGGCAGCCCTGGTGGCTCAGCGGTTTAGCGCCGCCTTCGGCCCAGGGCCTGATCCTGGAGACTTGGGATCGAGTCCCACGTTGGGCTCCCTGAGTGGAGCCTGCTTCTCCCTCTGCCTGGGTCTCTGCCTCCCTCTTTGCCTCTCATGAATAAATAAATAAAACTTAAAAAAAAGAGAGAGAGAAGCAAATGACCGCTCTTGGTCACCACTGCCATTTCCCCCTGTCTTAACTCTGAGATCACAGGAGATAGTTATTCTCCAGATCTTCAAATACTATCAAAGAGACCTTTGTTCTCACTTTTTCCAGGCTGGACGGACCTTGATATTTAGTCATCTCAAAGTTAGATTTCATTAGATTCCAGTATATTCGCATAGGAGAGTGAAGGAAAAGAGGTATGACATCAAGAAAAATATGGACCCAGAACCATAAAAGAATAAAGCTGAGGACCGTGTAGTATGTATGAAGTACAGGACAAATATTGTGAGGACCTTGGGATAATCTAAACTCCCCCCCCACTATCCGGGAAGGTTGGTGCAGCTCCTGCTTCTCCAGGTGGGGCTCTCCTGTCCTGGGGACACTCACCCCGGCCTCAGCCCGGTTCCTCGGGGGCCCCTCCCCCTTGGAGGCCTTTTGTTTCTTTATTTCTTTCCCCCCCCATCTTCCTATCTTGATAGAAGCGTGAACTCTTCTCACTGTAGCGTTCCAGCTGTTCTCTCTTTAAATCTCAGGCCGAATTTGTAGATTTTCAGGATGTTTTGAAGGTTATCTAGGTAATTTGGTGGGGACAGGTGACTTGGGGACCCTACTCTTCCGCCACCTTGCCCCGCCTCTAAACTTCCTCCACTAAACACTGATCACCTTCCTTCCCTGAAATGCCCACCCGAACACACGGACACAGAAGTGCCCAAATGCCCAATCTCTCTCCTTTCAGGTCAGGTGGGGGTGGGAGGTGCCACAGGGAGCCTATAGCATAGAAATCAGGATGGAGTTGGGGAGGAGCTGGAGAGATACTGGTTTGGCTGGTGCTATGACAAAGTTTGCACTGTAGGGACACCTGGGTGGCTCAGTCAATTAAACGTCTGTCTTTGGCTCAGGTCATGATCTCCGAGGTCTGGGATTGAGTCCTGTTTTAGGCTCCGCACCCAGCAGGGAGTCTGCTTCTCCCTTTCCCTCTGCCCTTTACCCCCAAACTTGTGCTTTCTCTCTCTCAAAAAAAAAATACATAAAATCTTTTTCAAAAAAATTATGCAGTAAAGGTCCCTGGTTGTCTCGGTTAGTAGAGCATATGCCTCTTGGGACGCCTGGGTGGCTCGGCAGTTGAGCGTCTGCTTTTGACTCAAGATGTGATGCCTGGGTCCTGGGATCGAGTCCTGCATCAGGCTCCCTGTGGGGAGCCTGCTTCTCCCCCCGGCTGTGTCTCTACCTCTCTCTGTGTGTTTCATGAATAAATAAATAAAATCTTTTTTTTTAATAAATAAAATCTTAAAAATAGTAGAGCATACAACTCTTAATCTCATGATTTTAAGTTCAAGCCCCACATTGGGTGTGGTGGCTTCTTAAATTAAAAAAAAAAAAAAATTTACAGTACCCCAGTCTGTCAAACGGCTCTGTTTGCTGCTGGTGGTGGTGTTTTCTACAGTTCTACAGGTGTTTTTTGTTTTGTTTTTGTTTTTTAAAGATTTTATTTATTCATGAGATACACAGAGAGAGGCAGAGACAGAAGCAGAGGGAGAAGCAGGCTCCATGCAGGGAGGCCGTATGCAGGACTTGAACCCTGGGATGGTAGGATCATGCCCTGAGCCAAAGGCAGACGCGCTCAACCGCTGAGCCACCCAGGAGGCCCTTTGTTTTGTTTTTGGAGTCTAAGTGTCAGCTCAGTTTTAGTGGGTCAATATTTCTCTCTCTCTTTTTTTCTAAAGATTTATTTATTTCTTCATGAGAGACACAGACTGAGAGAGAGAGAGACAGAGACACAGGTAGCAGAGAAGGGGGCTCCTTGCAGGGAGCCTGATGTAGGACTTGATCCTGGATCTCGCCGTGGGCAGAAGGCAGCGCCCAACCGCTGAGCCATCCAGGGATCTCAACAATATTTCTCTTTGTACAAATAAGAGGAAATTGCTTCTCTAAAGGCAACTTTATTTATTTATTTATTTATTTATTTATTTATTTATTTATTTATTTATTTATTTTTGAAGACTTTGTTTATTTATCCATGAGAGACACAGAGAGAGAGGCAGAGACCCAGGCAGAGGGAGAGGCAGGCCCCCTGCAGGGAGCCCGAGGCGGGACTGGATCCCGGGACCCGGGGTCACACCGGGGCTGAAGGCGGCAGCTCAGTGCTGAGCCCCCCAGGGGTCCCCAAAGGCAAATTTATAAAGTGAACTAAGCATTGGTGGGACAATGTAATTCGCACTGGGTGCAGCTTTAAGCCTGGCTGCCATCAAGCCGGAGCGTGCACTCCCGGGTGACTTGTCCCCAGCCCAGAGTCAGGGCCTGCGGCTCGAGGTTGCCAGCCTGCGCGGGGAGCAGGCGCGGGAAGCAGAGCTCGCGCCCTCGGGGGACAGGCTGTGCCGCGGTCCCCACGGGCTGGCCGGGGTCCAGGACGCAGACCTGGCCGAGGTAAGAGCTCCTCTACGCGGGCGGGCGGGGCCCCGCATAGAGGCCGCTGCGGGGGGCGGGGGCAGCGGGTCGCAGGGTCCCCCCCCCCCCCCCCCCCGCGCCCCTCTGACCTCGGCCTTCCCTACGCAGCCCCGGGATCCAGGGGACCAGGGGGACAAGACGCTGGCGCAGGTGGTAAGTGAGCTGCAGGCGTCGCAGGCCGAGACGGCGCTGGAGCTGGAGAAGGCCAGGGACATGCTGGCCCTGCAGCGCGCCATCAACGTGTGTTACCAGGTGTGGGGGGCGGGGGGCACGGGGGGGGGGGCACCTGGGCCTGGGAGCCCCGAGGAGCCCTGATGACAGCCACCCGGGACGTCATCCTAAGGCTTGATCAGCACAAGTGGTCAGGAAGAGCCTGTGATGAGCCCAAGACCTTTCCTAGCTCAACCTGCCTTGTTTTGTTTTTAAAGATTTTGTTTGTTTGTTTGAGAGAGGGAGAGTGAGCGAGCAAGAGGGACAGAGAGAGCGAGTGCAAGCGGGGTGAGGGGTGGAGGGGGAAGCAGGCACCCCATGGAGCAGGGAGCCTGTTGGCTGGGCTGATCGAAGGGCCCCGTGGTGGTCGTGACCTGAGCTGAAGGCAGGTGCCCACCCCACGTCGAGTGTCCCTTACGCCCCTAGGGCCCCCTTTCTGTCTGGCTCCTGGGTGCTTGCTCCTGAGGCACAGCTCGGATGTGGTTTTGTCTCAGGAGGAACTGGAAGCAGTGATGACGAAAGCAGACAATGACAGTAAGGATCACACAGAGACACTGCAGAGGCTGACTCGCCTCCTGGACCTCAAGAGCCACCGCATCCGTCAGCTGGAAGGTATTTTGAGAAGCCGCGGCCTGCCACTACCCGGCAAGTGTTAGTCCCTGCTCTCACCTGGACCCGTCACATAGCTGAGGCCCATGCACCTGGCGGGAGGCGGCCTTTTGTGTCTCGGCATGTGACACGTCCCTCCTGCTCTTTGTCCTGTTGTCCGTGGTGTTGTCATACGTGGTCAGCCGCCGCTTTCCCCCCGCGTGTCCGTGTCCTCCTCCAGTTTCTCGGAAGAATGGCAGAGGCCCCACAAGGCCTGAGCCAGTTTTGAGAATTGAGGGCGGACGGCCGTTGGCCCCCAGAGTGGGGTGACCCCCGCCCCCTCTCGAGCCCAGGCCCATAGAGACGCTTTATCACTTGGCTCTCACCCTCCTTTTCTGTGATCCCCGAATTCTTTGCTGCAGTTCGTGGATGTCGAGGCGACAGGGCAGCTGGCCGGAGACTTGTGCAGGGTGTGGCGGGCCGTGCTGGCGGTACTTAGCGCGGTGCCTGCCGACCAGGAGCGGGTCTCGGCCTGGCCTGCCCGAACAGGGGCTTTGGTATTAGACCCAGTTGTCAGAGACCTGACCTACACTAGACCAATTCACCAAAGATCATTATTTAAATCAGAATATTCATTAATAAAAAAAATATTCATTAATTATTTTTTGGTAGTGGCCGTTTCGTCACCGCCATGAGACCTTCTGAAACTGTTGTTCAGGGCAGCGCTCCCCCTGGAAGGCAGAACCAGTGAGCGGGTTACAAAGGAAATCCTCCCTTGGGCTGAAAATTCTCATCAGATTCAGGGTCTTTCTCCTGGGACAGTGCAGGATAAATACTCTTAACTACTTCTGAAGATTCATTCGCTTTAACTTTTTTTTTTTTAAAGATTTTATTTATTTATTCGTGAGACAGAGATAGAGAGAGAGAGAGAGAGAGAGAGAGAGAGGCAGAGACACAGGCAGAGGGAGAAGCAGGCTCCATGCAGGGAGCCCCATGTGGGACTCGATCCTGGGTCCCCAGGATCACACCCTTGGCCGAAGGCAGGTGCTAAACCGCTGAGCCACCCAGGGATCCCAATTTTTTTTTTTCATTTGCTTTAACTTATAGTTCTTTCATTACTGGTAAGATCAGAGAGTTTTTCATGTGTTTAGCAGTTATTTGTATTGTGTCTTTTGAGAATTACCTATTTCTGTCCTTTACCTGTTTCTTGATAGCATTTTATTCATTTGTAGAATTCCTTTATATGCTGAGATTATTGGCCTTGTGTCACATAATGCAAAACTTTGAATCTGTTTTAGTTATGTTAACCTTATCAATTAAGAAACCAAAAGTCTAATCTTTGTATTCCATTTATTTTGGGCAGGAAGACATTCTGATGTGTTCAAAATATTTTTATTCTACAACATTAACTCTTAATATAGGACTTTCACCACTGACACATTGTGACCATTCAAATACTCCCCAATTTGAAGCAAACTATATATCAAAGTTTCTGATTAGTTGGACATGGCAGGTAATGCACAGATCTGGTACATGTCTACATGTCTACATCCCATGTCTACCTCCCTACATGTCTTTTCATCCCATTGCCAATATTTTCAACCTATTTCCAGTAAGTTTCCTCTCCAACTTTTTATTCCATTACTCTTTGGCTTACAGTGGATTGATTGATTGATTGATTGATTTTTGCCTTCTTATGTTAAAACCAAATTCGTAACAGAATGAAGATCCTTGTGACTGATCTGGCTGGGAGGGAAATCACTTCTTGGTGGAGTCTAATGTAATAGGCACTGTGACTATAACTTGGCATTCTCTTGATGGCCCGTATCCCAAATTTTTGGAAATACTCATATTTTGTGTACCTAGTGCTTCTCTTGGAATTAACAATTAATTCATAGGACCTTGCTATAAAACAATGACATCTGTAGATGAAACTGTGTCTCCAGTGTTTTCCTGAACTTAGCATTTACTTTCCAATCAGTCATTTTGTACCTTATCTCTAAAGCAGGCCTTGGGTTATCTGGCCCTCAGAATTCATGCTCTTGCTTTTTCCTTTTGAGTTACATAGTGTCTCGAAATAATCAACAATTTGGACTTTCATCATGATTTTTATTCTCCTTCTGTCCAACTTATTTTACCCTAAGGAAGAGCTCTCTATGCTTTAATGGATAGGCAGTTTTCTTTTCCCTCTAGAACAGCTCAAAGATGTGGTTTATGGCACTCGACAGTTGTCATTATGTCTGGAAACACGGCCAGCTCATGGAGATGAGGATAACGTGGACATTTCTCTACTGCATAAGAGTGAGAATCTTTTTGAACTGCACATCCACCAGGCCTTCCTGACATCTGCTGCCCTGGCTCAGGCTGGAGACACTCAACCTACCACTTTCTGCACCTATTACTTCTATGACTTTGAAACCCACTGTACCCCACTGGCTGTGGGGCCACAGCCCCTCTATGATTTCACCTCCCAGTATGTAGTGGAAACGGATTCCCTTTTTTTGAACTACCTTCACGGGGCTTCAGCTCGGCTTGATCTACATCAAGCTGTAGCCAGTGAGCACCACACCCTTGCAGCTGGCTGGATTTGCTTTGAGAGGGTGCTGGAGACTGTGGAGAGGGTCCATGGCTCTACCACACTTACTGGTAAGTGCCGTCGGCTTCCCACAGCTCCCGGGATTAATGTGGAGTTTCCCAGACTCTAGAGTTGCTCTTCTGGTGGTTTCCCATCTTCTTCCTCTGCCTTTATTCTTAATCTTCGCCACACCATCTGTATCCTCCTTGCCTTTCCTACTCTGCTATCCAGGAGCTGGTGGAGAAGATTTCGGGGTGTTAGAATACTGGATGAGGCTGCGCTTCCCCGTAGGATCCAGCCTACAAGCTTCCAATAAGCGAAAGAAAGCTCAGGCCTATCTGTCAGCCAATGTGCCTGGAGCTCGGGAGGCCCAGGAGGATAAGGTGAGAAAAAGGATGTGCCCATGCACCTCAAAGGAGCCTCAGCCACGAGCTCATGAGAACAGCGCAGTCTTCCATTCTCAATACCTGTTCATTGAATGTGAATGAAGGAGAAAGCTTGTCATTCCACAACTAATCCAGATTCTTCCCTTGGTCAAGCTTGAGTTTGAAATGAAAGCATACCCTTGCAGCCAGCTGCCCACCCCGCTACGAACAACATAGCTTCTCCATTCCCTTCTCTAAGATAAGGCTTGAGGGCCAGCACCTGTCTGGGTGACTCTGCTGGAGCCAGTCTGCAGGCAGGGGAAGGTCCTTAGGTTCCTCTGTGCTCTGTCAGAATTCAGCACTTCCTGGGGTCAGAGCTCGGCCTCCTTGGGGTGCTGGGCTTCACGTGTGGCAGTTCTCTCAGGCTGCCCCTTTCCTTCATCCAAGACCAACATCTTTCCAGTCCAGATTGGAGACTTGGAAGCATCAGAATGAGCTGCGGGTGGAAATCATCAGATGCCACGGCCTCCGGAGTCGACGGCTGGGAACTCAGCCCAGTCCATACGTCATGTACCGCTTCTTCACCTTTTCTGACCACGACACTGCCATCATTCCAGCCAGTAACAATCCCTACTTTAGAGACCAGGCTCGATTCCCAGTGCTTGTGACCTCTGACCTGGATAAATATCTGAGGCGGGAGGCCCTGTCTGTGTATGTTTTTGATGACGAAGACTCAGAGCCTGGCTCGTACCTTGGCCGAGTCCAAGTGCCCTTGCTTCCTCTTGCACAAAACAAATCCATTAAAGGTGGGAGTTCAACGTTATTACATCTTCATGCTCTCCACCCAGTGTTGCCTTCCTGTCCTACTTTTCTTTGATTACTTGCTTGGAACAGTCTCTCTTAAAAAACCTGCTAAGAGGATTTTAGAATATGGTCAAGAGCAATGGAGCAGAAGACTTGGTGCCTCACTAATCCTATGGAAACATTGGCTTCTTCTGCCTTTTTTTTTTTTTTAACAAAAAAGCAAGATTCTTAAGTCCATACATCCATCTGTGAACAAAAAAAATTTTTAGTGCTTCCCAGTATTTGTATCTACTTAAGGCCTATTGTTTCTTAGCACCTGACTAGATATCAGATTATAAACTGTGTCCTTAATACTCTCCCATAATTCTCTTGCTTCTTTGAAGCACAAGTTAAATTTCATGCTGCATCATGACAAAGGCAAATTTCTTGGATCCTTTTTCCTCTTTTCCTCCACTATGGAGCTGAGGTGAACTTAGGAAGGGTCAACTCTCTGGTTCCAGTATTGGGAGTGTGAGGCAGGGGTGTCTGTGCTCTCATTAGTAAGTATGGATGGGTAGATCCGGTACCAACCATATTTAACAAGCTTCTGGATGTGTGAGGCCTCTTTCCTTCCAATACCACAAGAGCTAAAAAAAAAAAAAAAAAAAAAAAAAAAAAAAAGCCAACACTTTTGCTCACAACTCATTCTTTGCCAAAAAGAAGAGGCAATATGGGCCATCTGTTAAATTAATCAGTGTTACAAATCAGAAATCTGGCATTTAGAAAAAGCCATTTTGCTGAAGTTTTCTTGGCTTTTGTTATTTTAGAAATAGGGACCACTTCAGTATATATATATCTTTTTTTGTTTTTTTTTGGTTTTGGTATACCTAAGGCCTAGCAAGCATTAGGTAACAGCAATAATCATGTAATCATGTTTATTGGCCAGGTGACTGATAACAAGCAAGTTATACCTTTCCATACATCTTTATCTTTTGACTGTCTCTTCTTGAAACCTGGAGATACCCATCTTCCCCTACAAATATTCTAAGTGAATATTAATATTTACTGCTATTTTTTAAATTATTTACTGCTATTTTATGTTATTTCTGAATATATTATCATCATGCTTATGTAATGGATGTTAATGACAAACAAAATATGGGAAAATTCAAAGTGGGGGAATAGATAATGTGCTGATAAATACTTACCTAGTTCATGTGATCAGATCTTATTAATGTCTGTGTGTGTCTCAGGTGATTTTAACCTCACTGACCCTGCGGGGAACCCCAATGGATTTGTTGAGGCACAACTGGACTGGAAGTCTTTCTACCAGCCCCCAGAGAGCTTCTTGAAACCAGAAGCTCAGCCTGAGGAGAACAGCACCAAGGATAGTTTAGAGAGCTCATCTAAAGAGGTAAAGGCTTCCTTTTCTCCCCAGGTAGCAGATCTCCACTGATCCTGTGGAGCATATTTGAGGAAAACAGTATTAAAGTTGTAGTATAAGAAATGCCTTCTGTGAATGCCATGTGTTCTGCAAACTTATTCTGCATCCCTCGTAATGCCATGAGCCTACTGAAGAAGCAAAATCCTGGGTTTTTTTTGTGGGGAGAAGAGAGAGATTGCATCTCTCAGCTCTGTGGCAGGAGAGGCACGAAGTCTCATGCTAGCTCATAAATCCCTTCCTTGAGTATCAAGGCTGTTAAACTCTCATCTGGTAAGGTTGTCTCTGATCCTTCTATTTAGGACCAGATGGCATTTGCTGAGATTCCCACCGAAGCTGGCCAGTATCAAGCTAAGCAAAAACCTCCACAGGTGGGAGAAAGAAAGGAAAGGGAACATCAGGTTGCAAGCTACTCAAGAAGAAAACATGGCAAAAGAACAGGCATCCAAGGAAAGAGCAGAATGGAATATCTTAGTCGTAACATCTTAATTGGAAATACATTACAAGTAAGGCCTTAGAAACCCTGCAGAATTAAAATATGGGTTGTAGTGTTCCCAGATATATTATTCTCACCTAGAAGTAGACATCTAAGATAAGCAGTAATCATGGTTCTTTTGTGGCCAACATGTGTTTCAAACATATGTAGTTTAGGGACGCCTGGGTGGCTCAGTGGCTTAGCGCCTGCCTTCAACCCAAAATGTGATCCTGGAGACCTGGGATCGAGTCCCACGTTGGGCTCCCTGCGTGGAGCCTGCTTCTCTCTCTGCCTGTCTCCCTGACTCTCTCTCTCTCTGTGTCTCTCATGAATAAATCTTTAAAAAAAAATATGTAGTTTAATAAAACTCTGAACTGTTCATTTTATTTATTTATTTATTTATTTATTTATTTATTTATTTATTTTTGTTCACTTCATCTTAGTGTAATTTAGTTCAATAGTTTATGGACTCTGCAATTTATGCTGAGAATTTTACCAGTCCACCTCAACTGTAGTCAAAATAAGTTAAAAAACAAGTATTTATTGAACACTATGTGTTTAATACTCTCTTTTCTTCATAGGAAACATAGATTAAAGTTACTATGTAGCACCTAAAAATATATATATGAGATTATAAATATATGTAATCATATTATTTAATCATATAATTTTTTATATGGTATTGATTGTATAATAATATTAGCATATAATTATTAATTTTATGAAATTATAATTATACTATATATAGAGTTGACCTTTGAATAACATGGATTTCAGCTACATAGGGTCAACTTATACATGAGGGTTTTTAATAATACAATATTATAAATGTATTTTCTCTTCCTTATGATTTTTTCAAATTTTTATTTAAATTCCAGTTAGTTAACATATAGTGTAATATTAGTTTTCAGGAGTAGAACTTAGTGATGCATCACTTACATATAATACCTAGTGCTCGTCACTACAAGTGGCCTTCTTAATACCTACCACCCGTCTAGCTCATCCCCCTCCTACCTCCCTCCATCAACCTTCATTGTTTCTCTATTGTTTGTTCTCTCTTGGTAAGAGTCTCTTATGGTTTCCTTCCCTCTTTTTATTCCTTCCAAGCGTTCATATGTTTTGTTTCTAGAATTCAACATATGAGTGAAATCATATGGTATTTGTCTTCCTCTGACTCATTTCATTTAGCATAATACACTATAGCTCCATCTACATTGTTGCAAAAGGCAAGATTTCATTCTTTTGATGGCTGAGTAATATTCCATGGTGTGTGTGTATATATATATAATCTTACCTCTTCTTTTTCCATTCATCAGTCAATGGACATTTCAGCTCTTTCCATAGTTTGGCTATTACTGATAATCCTTATGATTTTCTTTTTTTTTTAAGATTTTATTTATTTACTCATGAGAGACAGAGAGAGAGAGAGAGAGAGAGAGGCAGAGACACAGGCAGAGGGAGAAGCAGGCTCCCTACAGGGAGCCCAATGTGGGACTTGATCCTCGGACTCCAGGATCATGCCCTTGGCCAAAGGCAGATGCCCAACCATTGAGCCACCCAAGCATCCCCTTATGATTTTCTTAATAATATTTTCTTTTATCTAGTTTCTTTTATCGCAAGAATATAGTATATAATACATATAACATACAGATGCATTAATCAACTGTTTATATTATTGGTAAGGTTTCTGCTCAACAGTAGGTTATGAGCAGTTCAGTTTGGGGTGGAGGTCAAAAGTCATACACAGATTTTTTTTTTCATACACAGATTTTTGATGCCCCTAACTCCCGTGTTGTTCAAGGGCCAGCTGTAATTATATTTGTTGTCCGTATTCTTTTTTTTTTTTTTATTACTATACACTCAGTATCATTGTTGTCCGTATTCTAAAGCAGGTGAACTACACTGAATGGAAGTTCTCAGGACTGAAGAGCTCCATAGATGATGGTTTAAAATATCAGCAAAAGGAAAAGGAAAGGACGTCATCCCATTCAGTAGTGATGCAGAATGAAGCCCTAAATCCTGTGAATGGTATTGTCTTTTTAAAATCTCATTTCCTGTTTAATCATTGGATTATTTTATCAAGCCAGTTATTTACATTTTTTTCTTCTTGCATTGCTAAACTTTTCATGGAAAATTAGTACTGAAGATTCTAGGCTTAGTTTTATGTTACAAGTGCCCTGGTTAGACCAACCAAGGCTGGAATTCTCAGAATAGCTTTCTATGTATTTATTTATTTTTTAAAAATATTTCATTTATTTATTCATAGAGATGCAGAGAGAGAGAGAGAGAGGCAGAGGGAGAAGCAGGCTCCACGCAGAGAGCCTGACGTGGGACTCGATCCCGGGGCTTCAGGATCACGCCCAGGGCTGCAGGTGGCGCTAAACTGCTGCGCCACCGGGGCTGCCCCTTTCTATGTATTTAAAGCTAGTTAGCCTGCCAGTGTCCCTAGCAAGTATATCCTGTGAATTATGGTTACGAAGAAATAGGAGAAGGAGTGTGATTGGCTTATTTGTGATGTCGATTTAATTTTTTTTAAATTAAGACAAGGCTTTTTTGTGTTACAGTGAAAGGTAGAAATGATTTCAGGTTATGGTATGGGCAAACCAGATAATTCAGACCAACTCTCTCATTGAGGACAACTAAAAAGCTGAAGTTAATATATTTTTTAAAGATCTTAACATTTCTTAAAAAGCATTAAATAGTCGATAAGGAAGAATTACTTACCTTCAATCAGGGACATGATTGAAGCTCAGAGAGGTGAGATGGAACTGCGTCAGCCCTGGGACATTGTCAGTCTGGAAAAAGTGGAGGAGAGGCTGAACCATGCTTTTGCTGGACTTTTGAGGTGGAGAAATAGGCTACAGTGTGCATCTGGTGTCTACCCAGCAGAGGAAGAGGTCCGCGCTGGGCGGAAGGGCCCACTGGTCGAGAGCCCTGGAGGCAGCACCATTTTGAGTCTCGTAGGTTCTGGGAGGTAGCACTGCGCTTCAGGTACCTGCAGGGCTAGAGAGCCAAGGGCTGACCCAGTACCTACCAGGACTCGGATATCACAGTTATCAGACACAGCCTGTGTAACAGCTGCGCTCACAAGCTTCACGGAGATAAAAGCTAAACTTTAAAATTTCTTTTTTTTTTTCTTTTTTTTTTTATTTACAATAGTCATGCAGAGAGAGAGAGGCAGAGACACAGGCAGAGGGAGAAGCAGGCTCCATGCACCGGGAGCCCGACGTGGGGTTCGATCCCGGGTCTCCAGGATCGCGCCCTGGGCCAAAGGCAGGCGCCAAACCGCTGCGCCACCCAGGGATCCCTAAACTTTAAAATTTCAACAAAGAATTGGAGCTACGAAAAAATTGAGATCATAAGTTTTAAAAAACATTTTGTCTTAAGATAATTTCGAACTTACATAAGAGCTGCATGACTAGGACAGAAAAATTCATATACACACAAATTCACACATTCACCAACTTTTAGCATTTTCCCACTTTCTGCTTTACCATTTTTTTTAAGCATTTGAGAATAAGTTGTCCACCTCATGCCCCATTACTGCTATATATTTCAGTAAGGAAAAGGAAATTATATGACCACAGAGTTATCAAGTTTGCAGACTTATCTTGGATACATAGTACCTACTGTACAGTCAGTTTTCAGAATTTGCTGGTTGTCCCAGTAACATCCATTATTAGCAGTCCTTTTTTTTCTCTATCTAATCCAGAATCGTACATTGCATTTGGTCATGTCTCTTTAGTTTCCTTTAACCTGGAACAGTTCTTAATCTTTGTCTTTCCTGATAATTGACATTTTTGAAGAGTATAGGTGGGTTGTTCTGTAGAGTGTTCCTCAATTTGGATTTGTCTGAGGTTTCTTTGTGATTAAATTCAGGTTATGAATTTTTTACAGGAATACCACAAAAGTGACATTGTGTCCTTCTCACTGCATCACATTAGGAGGTACATGGTGTCAGTTTGTCCCATTATTGGTGATGTTAACTTTTATCACTTGTTAAGAAAGCATCTGCCAGGTTTTTTCAGAAGTTATCATTTTGCCTTCGTAATTATTAAATAATCCATGAGAAGATATTTTGAGACTATATAAATATCTTGTTCCTCATCAAATTTCACTTGATAATTTTGGCATTCATATATGGGCTTTTTGCTCAAATCACAAAGTCTTTACAAAATACATTGCAACTTTTGGAAGTGAATCAATAGAAATTATAGCACTGTTCAGTAGAGAAATTTATCAGAGGAATAGATGGTTCAAAAACAGATTAGATACAACAGAAGTGAGAATTATTAAGAATAAAGCAAGGAGAGATGGAAAGATGGCAAATAGAAAAGAAGGAGACATAAAGGATAAAGGATAAAATAAAGGATAAAATGGATAAAAGGATAAAAAGGATAAAATATCCATAAAGGATAAAATGAAGAGCTCTAGACTACATTTAATTAAATGTAGAAGAGAAGAAGGGGCAGAGGCAGTATTTGAAGTGTTAATGACTTCAAGTTTTCTAGAACTACTAAAGATATTAATATTCAGTGAAATGAAACTCAAGTAGGGTAAGTTTAAAAAAACAAAAAACAAATATAGGAGTGCCCGGCTGGCTTAGTTGGTGGAGCATGTGAATCTAGATCTTGGAATTGTGGGTTTAAGCCCCATGTTGGGTGCAGGGATTAGTTAAAAATTAAAGTTAAAATTAAGAAAATTAAAAAAAATTAAAAAATTCAGATCTAAACATATCAGAGTCAAAATGCAGGAAGTAAAATCAAATAGAAAATATTAAAAACATCCATCTAAAAGAAAAAGATAGGGGTGCCTGGGTGGCTCAGTTAGTTTAAGCATCCAACTCTTGATCTCCGCTCAGGTGTTGATCTCAGGGTCACTAGTTTAAGCCCTGTGTTGGGCTCCACCTCCATGCTGGGTGTGGAGCCTATTTAAAAAAATTTAAAAAGGAAAAATAAATAAATGAAAAAGATAGTCATGAGTCCATTGATAAGATGGATAACCCACTTGTCAACAGCTACAATATAGCCAGAAATCAGCGGCAAGACGCCTTCGGGATGCCAAAAGAAAATAGTTAACCGCCAACGAGGAATTCTCCACACAACAAAAATATTCTTCCAGAATGAACACAGAATAGACAAAAACAAACCAAAATGGAGAGTTTGCTTTCAAGCTACATCTTGAGGTTGCTCTGTAGGCTGAGGGAAAATTATCTCAGAAGGAAACACAAGGATGCAACAAGAAATGAAAAGCAAAGAATATGGGTTAGTTTAAGTGTATAAAGCAAAAATATCAGCTTGTGGGGTTAATGGTGGCCCCCAAAAGCAATATCCATGTTCTTAACTCCAGAATTTGTAAATGTTACCTTATTTGAAAAGAGATTTTCTTTCAGGTGTAACGAAGCTAAGGATCTTGAGCTTTAGAGATCATCCTGGATTGTCTGAGATGCATCCTGTGTATCTGCACAGAGAGAGGCAGAAAAGGAGGCGATGTACACGCAGAGGCAGAGTTTGGAATGACGTGACCACAAGGCAAAGACTGCCGGGAGCCAGGCATTCCAGAAACTGGAAAAGGCAAGGGAAAAAAGGAAAAGGCAGATTATTCCCTAAAGCCTTTGGGGTGAGCATAGACTTCCCAATACTTTGATTTTGGACTTCTAACCTCCAAAACTGTGAGACAATAAATTTCCAGTTGTTTTTTTCCCCTTTCTGTGTGAATGTTTTCACCTTTACTTCTCTTAATATTCCGGAGATAGAGATGTTTCATCCAGAACGAGTTTTAAGAGACACGTACATGCTGTATGTACCCCAGAGGCAAAAATCAAGGCTAAAATGATATCTGGCCCAGCAACTAACATCACTGAAAAAGCTCACGGAAAGTTCACTATCACCTTATATATCCGTTACTTTACTGTAGAATGAATGGCTCTACAGAAAAGAGAAAAGACAGATGAAGGATAAAATGAGGAGGTCTAAGCTACATTTAATTAAATGTAGGAGAAGAGCAAGGACGGAGACAGAGGCAATGTTTAAAGTGATAAATAAGTAATTCACATCTGCATTCAGAAAATGGAATCCTGAGAAGAGGCTGTTTTTTCTGGGCTCTCAGTTGTTAGAACAGCTTGTGAAAGGATGCAGTTGCCTTCAAAATAGCCCTCAATAGTTAGTTGCGGATTGCTTTCTTTGATGACTTTCAGGAGCTTCTAGATTTGAGCCTCAGATTCATCTGTCTTCATCCTGTGTGTCTTGAGGGGGCAATTTTGAAGTTTCAAGGCTTCACACAGCATCTTTACTCTACTAGACCACCAAGGAGTTCTGACCCAGGCCCAGCATGACCAGGTTCTGTTGCTGCTGAGGGCAGAGGAGAGGTCTGCACAGCTGAAAGAAGCGATGGCACATCCACACAACCACACATAACTCAGGTTACGCAGCGGTTTCTTCAAAGCCTTACAAAGGACGGTAGTAATTCCCGTGATTAGCCCCAGATGCAAGGGTATTACCTTGATTTTCTTTGAGAAACTTTGGTGATTGCAGCCATCATTGGTTCTGTTGCAGCACCATAGCGCCAGAGTAATGTAGCTTACGGTGGAGGTAACTCAAGCCCTCACACAGAAGTTTGAGGCTGCCATCCATCCCATTGAGACTTCTTTGTGCAGAACAAGTATGTCAAGCCCATTTGACTTTCATTGACATTTGGAAGTCAAAAGTCGTCTCCAACTCCCAGCTCTCTTTTTGTTTGAATGGTGGACTAAGAAGTTATCACACTTGGGTCAAGTTGGCATTGTTTAGTCTTTCTTGGAGAGTGGCCTCTGCACATCCCTAATGTCCCACCTGAGGTTTTCCCTGTCTTCCTCCTCTTTACTCTCCAGAACATAGAACATGGTGGCAAGAAACTGCTGGACACTGAGGTGGGTGAAGAAGTAGCGGCCCTTACGTTGTTTGCCCTCCTGGAAGATATACTTGTTCAGGAAAGGAGGGAGGTTAGACATTTTTGACACAAGTCTGCAAACGTCATCAAACACAGATACC